CCGCGTTCATCACCGGGCTCAGCCGCAGTCTATATATTGATTGAACCATCCATCACTTAAACTCTACAAGACATTATTTCTAATTAAAAAGTAAGTCATAAATTGCAGCCTTTATTGCCAGGCCGCGGATGTAAATAAAACTCAAGGGAGGGCGGGAACAGATTGCATCCCCCGTCCGCGCTTTAGAGCCACCGTAAAAAGGACAGACGGGTGTGATGGCACCTTTGGGATCCTCACATGCACACCGACAGCAGGGAGGAGCTCGCTGCTTCACCCATATAAACAGATGCAAATCAATAACTCCTCTGCTCGTGTTTTTATAAGACAGGCGCTTCCCCGCGGAGGGGCGAAGGAGCAAAGCATGCATATGTAAGAGCAAATATGCAAATTACATTTTCATAAACCATCTGGGAATATGTAAAAAGGAACAGCGGCCAATGTACTTGAAAATGATGTATAATCATAAGAGGTCATGAAGGTGTATGAAAGTGCTCCATCACTAAACTGGGCTAGCAGACACAACAATCACCCATTATCTACCTGTGTCTCCATTTTCCTCTGCTAAACAACAATTTTGCTGCCAAATATGCAGTCGCAGGGCATTATTTAATGATCCCTGTTGATAAAGAGGCCATTAGCACACCTACACTGCAGCCAAAGCTATAACGGAGCAGAGCGAACACACAACACACAGTCAGAGCAGACGCAGCTCCGAGTTGACAACTTCTGATTAACTCGACGTGCGCGCTGCTTGTCAGCCGCTGAACCCCCGACAGCCACTTGCAGAGTGGTAGCATGTGGGTTATTTTTTTACGGGCACAGAGGGATGTCTGATTTCACAGGTACTAGCCAAAAGGGAGGGAGGGAAATGGAAGAGGAAAACGAAGAAAGGGCATGTCACGGCCTCCTCAGCCTCCACAAAGGAAAGCATGTGCAATTATTATTCATCCGTCTCTGTCACTTCTCCTGGGCTCATGTTTTTCCATACCTGCCAGAATGAGAGGACCACACAAACCTTCTGAGTCATATTCAGCTACGAGCCAGACAGGTTTGTAGCCAAAGTGAAGGAAGTGGCCTTGGTGTTGTTGAGAGACAGAATCAGTGTCCAGGGGGGGGGAGCGAGAACTAATGAGTGAGCTAAAAAGGGCAAGATGGAGGAGTGATCCTCTATAAAAAGACCAGCAGTAATCTCTTCCTCTCCTCTACCCTTAATGTCCTGAGAGATCTCGGGTTCCTCTGTAAAGCCTCTGCACATCAAACACGGCTGATTAGAGCCGCACACCTCGCTGCAGCTAAAGCCTTGGACAGGGTGCACACGCAGTTCAAACGAGACACCAAAGAGGAAGAACTCTGCCGGTTAGAGGCTCATCTCCCTGGACTTGAAACATGTCTGAAGCTTCCTCCAAATCAGTGTGCAGCTGCAAATGGAGATCTCCACTCATCATATCTCGAACAGAATGCCTCGGAGCTCACATAGCATTAGTGTCTTTCAAATGAGGGCTGCTTTGGACTCTTCTGTCATGTCAGATGATATCAGTGCAGCGTAAGCAGGATTTAATTGTCATCAACAGATCGTACTATTCGTTAACGTCGGCATAGACGGTCAGGGTGAGGAGGGGATACAGGAGGAAGAGGAAGATGCTGCTGGGCTGTCAGGATGTTGTTTTATTAAGACACACAAACTGTCAGGGCAGGTATCAGGAGAACACTCTTGTCCTAACATCCTACAAACCCCGTCTCATCCTGAAATACCTCCGTTCAAATTCACCGTATATTTCTCTGTCACACTTTGAGGGCACAGCATGAGGAAGAGTCTCTACATATCCAGCCTCGTGAAGCATTCACCTGCATCGCCCTCTGGGACTGAGGAGACAGTGACACTGGAATAACAATGTTCAGGCTTCACTCTCTTCTCTCTGACATCTAGTTACCACATTACACAATTCAGTTACTACTTAAACTTGGATTTGCGCACCAATGGTCGCAGTTTTCAGGCACTGGGCACCTTTTTGATGGAACTGCATTTCAGTCCTGTTCTAGGCTCTGTTTGTCTTTCAGAACAGTTACAGAAGAAAAAAGTGTATTTTTAAATAAACGCATCATAATCATCATTATTAAAGGAATTACATTTTCCCACCTATGTGTTAAATGTTTCAGCTACATTGTGTTTGTTTAGGTTAGCATGACTCTGTCCAAAGCTAATCTACCAGCACTTCAAAAACATGCAGAAGTTTTTCTTTGCGGGGCTTAATTGTGGGATTTCCCTGGCAAACAGCAGAGATAATGCATGCAGGTTGACACCTATAACTGGTGGGCTGATTGTGTTGTACATAAACATTCATTAAACAGACAAAGGTGAGCCAAACTCTCTGGAAAGAAAAGGTTAATTTCCCCAAACCTCTGTTAACTTTTAAATCATCTCCAGCTGAATTGTTACACTTGTGTGTGCGTGTGAAATCCTCTCTTAGCACTGAATATTAATATTCCTAAGTGAGATACACAATTTACAGGATTTAAAAATGCAAGGCTGCATTTAACGACGATAATGCAGTTAATGCAGGGTCACTGAATACATGAATATTGCATTGGAGGAGGTGCAGAATGTTGAAGTGCATCTCTGTAAACATCACATTTAACAGCGTTCATTTAATACACATGTACATGCCTGCTGACATGTGCATGAATGTTAGTCTCCCTAAGCAGGTGGCCCCTCTGTATGAATGTGTGTGAATGCTGACTTGTATATGTAAAAGGCACGATGAGGGGTTGTAAAGACTGGAGAAGCAGTCTAATGACCATTTAAAACCACACACATCTATATATCCCCCTCAACAACAGTGATTCCTTTAGAGCCGCTCAAAACTAAGGACGTGAATGTCCCCGCGAACTCTCTGTCTTTTGGGACCACCAACATGTCTGAGCAAGTATCCAACAGTTGTTAAGACAACAGTTTAGAGGGGCACACATTACCAGCAATGTGTGCCATTGAAATAATGTGGTTATTTAGAGGGTTCTGCTGCCTTGTCCGGTCTCCCCGAGCCCGTCTAGTTTCCCCAGAAACAGCAACACAACAACAAAAGCTGCACAAAGTCAGGAACACTGCTGACAACGGCCAAAAAGACTTCACTCCCTCCCTCTCCATTCAAATGAAACGCTTTGCATCAAGCCCCGGCAGGATCTCACTGTGCAAACAGACTGCAGGGCTTTAAGATAACAGAACCAAACTCATGCCATCACAGGACATTATGGTCAAACTAACCTGAACGCCTGAGGCCAGGATGGGTATGCAAAGCATTCGGAAGAGGAGCTAAGGGTTAAGACACTCTGGATATTCAAAAAACATATCTTTCACATCTTAATTACGTCCTATCCTGCCTAACCCTTTGATCCATAGTACCATATCAAAATATTGTTTTCCTCCTCTCTGAAGTAGATGACACATTAAGCAAAACAAGGTGCGTCAAATGAAGGCAGTAACTCCATTCTGGGCTGCATTAGGATATTTATCATCAAAGCAATCCGCAGCTTTTAATTCATTTGACACCTTTCAGCCCTAATACAGTATCTGATTTCTGAGCAGCAGCGGTACACAGTCACACAGCGGGACATCTGCAGGGAAGCAGCGGGTGTTTCTGCAGGAAAAGAGAGCAAGGCCATTATGTCTGCAGCAGATTTACGCCTTGTATCGGAAAAGCACGAGCAAGCGCCACGCGCAGATATCGCCCGCTGCTCTCAATGTTATTTAGATGACAGCACTACTCTATTTTCACCTTGCAACTAATGTGACCATTACTCCTATGTCAGCAACATTTACTGTCCTTTCTTTGTGCAAGGGAATTGGGAAATTAATTCTAAAAACAGGGATAATCCTGGGATGTGTGTGTAGTTTCTGGGATTATAGTTCCCAATTACTCACCTCTGAAATCTCCCGTCCCATCATATAGAGGATATGAGTCCCAGAGGCCTCATCAAAAAGGTGATATGACACCGCACTGGGTTTCATGCATTAATCTTTTTGCATAGTGTTGTAAAATAATATCAACAAGGGCTCGAGAGGGAAATATGAACATGAAATAATCTGCACTGCAGCGGGGAAAGAGGAAAGTATTGAGTTAGATGTAGGGGAAAGTGGATGGTGTGTGTGTTTGTTTGTGTGTGTGTGAGGGAGGGAGGGAGAGGAGGAGCCCACCAGTAAACTCAGGAGGGTAAACAATCTCCCTAATTGGATTCAATCCAGGCTCACCACAGCAGGCGGTGAGGCTAGTGACTCCATTGAATGTGGAATGAAGTGTGTGTGTGTGTGTGTGTGTGTGTGTGTGTGTGTGTGTGTGTGTGTGTGTGTGTGTGTGTGTGTGTGTGTGTGTGTGTGTGTGTGTGTATCGACAGGACTAGGAGAGGAGGGCGTCAGCTGGCATGTGAGAGAGGGAAAGGGGAAGAGGATAAGTGGCAGCAGCAGAGAGCAAGCACAGGGCTGCAGAAGACAACAATGACAGAGGAAAATAATCTTGGTGCGTGGAGGTGTCTGTGGTCATGAGGTGTGTTGTGTGTGTGTGTGTGTGTGTGTGTGTGTTGTGTGTGTGTGTGTGTGTGTGTGTGTGTGTGTGTGTGTGTGTGTGTGTGTGTGTGTGTGTGTGTGTGTGTGTGTATGTGTGTGTACAAAGCAAGAGACTCGAGGTTTAGAGGAATGGAAGCCAGCTGTGCTTTTGCATGATTACACTGAAAACATCATTTGCATCAGGGAATGAAATCCAAACACGGATCCGTATGGTTACCGACCAAAAACCCCTCCTCATCGCTGGCGGCAGAAATGAAAAGGCTCAGAGTGACGTCCCACAGATTTGCATACTGAAAGGAGTACCTCTCATGAATCATTTTCATAAACATCCCATAGCACACAACGAAGAAGCCGCATGATTGGACCACATGAATGCCCTTCATTACTGCTCTGCATCGAGGGGGGGCATGTCCTCAGAGATGTTCAATCAAAATAAGTGACATACCTTGTTGCTTCTTGAGTGTTCTCCGCACAATATCACATTCCAGATAGTCAAAGCATGCTCGATCCTGAAGGAAACAGAGAGGAAGAAGGTTTGTTTCAGTAAAACATGATGAACAACATCACATCTTCACAACGGAAGAGGTGTAATAGATAATAAAGGCAACATATGCGATGAAATCTCATGAATAAATGAAATGTTACGATGCTGCAGACTGTTGAAAATGTCTTTATATTTGCTCATTTTTATTCATGTGTGATGCAAATGGGTAGAATGTTGCAAGAAATATATTTCTGTCCATATGACAATTTAAATTCAAAGGTTTATTTTAAAACAGGAAGTCTCCTCCAGGGAGTGTGTGGGGGAGACTGGGAGAAACTCCGTCTGAATTGAGCTTTGGGATTGTACCCTTAGCAGACCATCTACATGCACACAAACCAATAGAACACACTACAGGAAAGGGGATACCACCCAAAAGCACAATAGGGCCTCTTTAAGACACAAAGAAACTAGTGCAGCTGACATATTGATTGCAAGTTAAATGCAGGACAGTTCAGCAGGAAGTACTTTGAATGTCTGACTTAAAGTTAACTTCCTTGTTGACATAATTACTGAACAAGGCTTGTGCACAACCGTGACACAAATCAATCTGTTTTTCCTACATTCAATTGATTTGTTATAAAGAAGGATGCAAACATCATCCCTTCGAATATCATGATTCATACGACATTTGCAATATTAGTAAAAATGTTCACGATAAGATGTTTGCTTTGCGGCAAAACATATCCCTACAAAAAAAAAGTGTCCATAAATAAGGAAATCAGTCTGGCAGGAAGAACTTCTAATGTCTGCGATCATGACTTAGAGTCATCTTTAATGGGCCTGTGCACAACCATGACATAAATCAACTCTGAAGAACTACAAGATAGATGACTTATCAATGCCAGAGGTCTTAGTAATCAAAGTGGCACCTCACACAAACACCATATTTTAGTCTGTTCTGGGTCTTCCAGCATTAAGTGGCATCTTCTCATAAATGTTTCAGCTGTTGTCTGCCTCGCAGTGGGCGACAGAGCGGCTGTATGAAGAGCTATTCAGGTCACATCAGCTTTTAATGGCTGATTTATTAGAGCCCAACAGGGGCTGCAGGACAAAGAGCCCGTTTTAAACTGCATTAACACTCTGCAGTAAATATCCCATGCAACATTAGCATTTTGATGACTGCCCCCCCTCGTCACCTTTAACGTGCCTCGTTGTCCCACGCTCACATTTGACTCTCCTGCTCTGCCTCGTCTTTCTTTTTCATGTGCCACTTTCTCTCTTCCTCCTCATATTCAATACAAACCTTTGCTACTGCTCTGATGCCACTGTGCACAGGTTCACTTTAATTATGGCTGATTTAATGAGCTACATAAACGCAGGAACATTTCAATTGTATTGAGTGGAAATAAAATCCTTGCCACCTCTCTCTCTTTCATTATTGTGATGCAAACTATCTTCACATGTTTATAATTAAATCTCAACAGCGATCATAACAGCGATGAGCAGCAGAGTAATTGAGGCGTCCACAGAGCAGGTTAGGGTCATGAATAATAAGCCAACGTTAAAAAGAATAATCAGTAGTGCTGTGTACAGTATACTATGCAAATTAACTAGATATTGGACAAATATGATTGTACTCTAACCTATCAGGGTGGCCTGTTAACATATTTTAGTAGCACTGGGCCATGCTTTAAAAATGAGCAAAAAGAGTCAAATAAATCGTCTCGACACTATGACCAAATCATCTTGGCGTCTGAACAAGTGCTTCTTCAAATCTGCTCTTCATCATGTCTGATCAGATGTGAGACTGGCAGAAAGCCGGAGGTCGATTCAAAGGAACCTCTGAAGCTCATTTTGGTCAACCGTGTTTGGAGAGGAACACACAGCATATTGCAACAATTAAAAGCACAAACATTGAGATTAAGTCCATGCACAATAGAACAAATACAAATCATATTCTGGGCAGTTCAATGTTCCATCATTTGGCCAAACCTAGTTTTCAGTAATCACAGCTATGGACCACATTTTATTTGTTACACATTGATCTATTACAAAAGCGATCTCCACTGCTTCTCTGACGGAGCAGGAACATATACATCTGTTATCTTCTAATACAAATCTGTGTGGAAGTTATGGCGGCAGATGAAGATTCCTAAATATCTTCAATGAGTTGAGGGCCAGAGAAATGTAGACCATGCACTCTTATGGCACATTTCCACTGCAGCGGGGTAGCCCCGTTTAAGCGTCCCTAAGCGTCCTCGCTGGCCGTCCAAGGCCGTGGCGCATTTCCATTACAGTTTAGGACCTGGGGTACTAGCAACGCAGTGTAGGCGGGGCACATTTTGAGTTGTTCCGTCGAGCTCCCGCTGGATTGTATCATCCCCAATGAGATGTAGGAACGTCGTCACCTCCTCGGTCGACCACGGTGTGCTTTTCTTTGACGTTGCCATTTTTGTAGCTCCTCCGTGTATAAAAATGCTGCAAGCTTGCTTCTAGATATATATATGCGACGCTAGGGATGATCTCGCGCGCGATCTTGTGACGATTCTCTCTGACCAATCAGCAGTCGAGAGTGTTGACGTCACTAGTTCAGCCCTGGCCTGATAGAACCACGATTTTATGGGGCCGGAAAAAGAGGGAAAAAGTACCCGCTAGCCGGCGCTATGCTATATGGAAAGGCCACCAAAAACTGGCCTGGCCGCTTGAGGCCGCTTGAGGCCGCTTAAACGGGGCTACCCGCTGCAGTGGAAATGCGCCATAATCCTCTCGGATGTTCATACCAGAGTTACTCAGCTCTATTGAAGTCCTCGGTAGGAGGACCTGATGTGACACTGAGATATTGCGGTCACTGATATAGCAGAAATGTGGAGCTATTCAGGAATGTTTTGAGTTTCAATGCAACAACACAGAGATCAACAATTTGGGGGGAATATCTGGTATTCATCTGAGAAATATTGCAACCAAATAATAGTATTTACCTCCCATGAGTTGAGCTAGAGGCCTTCATTTATGCTATCAACTATAATGTGAGTGTACAAAGCATCATCCAAAACTTGAGACAAATCTTTATATCATTGATTACGTTTTTGTATGAAGACAACATCAACATGCTTCTAAAGGCCATTAAAAGTATTTTTCAAAAATCGTTTAATGTAAAATGCTGCAGGCATGGACAAAAATGCCAGTATTACTTCAGACATAGTGACGAGTGTTGTTGCCTTGTCTTTATCTGCAAGTAAATGACTCCCTTTTGCAGACATGTATAAAAAGGTAGTGTCTAAAGCAGCATTAACACAAAAACAATTGTTTGAAAAGTTTGCCTTTGGCCCTCTTCTCTACTTATTCTTCAGATGTTGCATCACAGTACTGTTCTCTGTTTTCTAAATGACAAAGTGATGAAACACAGGCTGGTTGTCCTGCTTTCCCTGCCATGAACTTCCACACAAATTTGACTTCACACCCTGAAAGTGATTCATTGTGGCACAGTGTGCAAAGCACTGTATCTCTGAACTATTATTATTTGTACCTTTTCTGTTCAGATAAATGCTCAATTTGTACGATAAATGAATGTTGGAAATAATATCTTTACCTTTTTTCAATAGAACAAGTTTAGAAATGTATTAGAAGCAGCAGAATGATATTGTTATCGCAATATTCAATGTCATCGCATCTTTGACTCATATTGTGCAGCTCTACAGGATGCCCACCCCATCTATTTGCAGTTGATTTAATTGTCTGCACTTACCATCTGCTTCTCTGCAGCTGCTGGTTATCTAACTTCTGACTTCATGTTGTTTCAAGCTAATCATGATGGAAAGTACAGGAGCCTGAATTTGACCAGGTGAAGAGAAACAGGGCAGGAGTGACAATAGTTTTCCTGCCTCAAGGCTAAAAAGTTGTGGGCATTCTTGAAATACATTAGCAGCTCTAGCACCAGCTTATCATGTGTGTCCAAAAATCAGGTACGAGGAGACAAAAGACCAAACAGGAGCGAGGTGCATGCATGCAGCCACTGTATGACTGATCCGAGCCGACAGCCTGGTGTGTCTCTGAAAAAGCATTTACTGAGGCACAGCACCGTGGCCCGCCGAAAGCTCATCAAAGAGTGGCTTATTTTATCAGCCAAGTGGAAAATGTGCTGAGAAAGAGAGAGAGAGGCAATAGTGGGGAAGTCAGCGAGAGTAACTAAGCTATTGTGCCCAGCGCTGACCCAAACACCCGCGTTACAGTAGTCACGGCCGCTCACAACAAAAGCTGTAATCGGCAGAGCAGGGCTTTAAACTAAATGACCCGGCGATGGTGACACTGTAACTGACAGCAGGCCTGTGTGTGCAGAGGCTAAAGGCACAGCAGATATGGCTAATGAGCAGAAAACGTATTTAAATCTCTTTACAAGAGGAGGCAACCTTGAATCAGTAACCTACATACTCCTGAGTGTAGTACTGTTATTCCACTACAGATTACTCCAATGAGCTGCTCTCAGAGAGAAATAGCAGGCTGAATAAAGGCTGTCTTTGCACCCTCGGGTAAACTGCACTTCTAGTATAACAAACCATAACTTTCAGCAAATGTACTATTACACACTGTGAGGAGAAATATGAATGTATTAAACAAATCCACAGTGAACAACTCATCACTATGGTGACGGGGGCCAATGCGCTACAACAACCCAAACACATCCATTCGGAGAATGGCGCTGCAGCTTCAGAGTTAGACTGTTTCATAATTGTACGTTAGCTAGCTAGCTTACAGCAAATCTGCAATAATATTAAAAGGAATCATGAGATAACATTGCGAAAATAAGATACAACTTACATTTTTGGTATGTTTCCAACAACTGTGTTGCACTGCATCAAAGTGTGAATACAAACAAGACCTCTGTTCATGTAAATGTAACACTAATTACTTTGCTCTGCTATTATCAGTTAAGTAATCAAAGCCAGTCAGTTCATCGAGAGGGAAGGGGAGGCTTTCCAATGAAAGTCAATGGGCAGCATTTATAATGCATGGGCAGCATCCTCACCC